GGCATCACGTCGAGACTGTACCTCTTTCTACTCCCGAGACTGTACCTCTTTATGGGAGTAGAAACCCTTGTCTTTCTCCCTTGGAGCAGCTGATGGTTTAAAATTGCTGGCTTTGCGGTTCACAGCCCAATGCATAACCCTTATACCACCAGGTTTCCCAGGCATCATATTAGGAGTGAGTTAAATGTTTGACCAATATGGCCAAACATGAATGATGTTATCAATATCCAAATGGCCCTGACAGGAAACAGGTTCTCCACCTGATTTTGCTTAGTAACATACAGGGGCATTGAGGGAGAGAAAGACACTCAATGAGATGGATTGACACTGTGGCAGCAACCATGGGCTTAAAGCTAACAAGGGTGGTGAGGATGGTGCAGGACCGGGCAGGGGGTTTCGTTCTCTTGTACATAGTAGGGTCACTGTGAGTTGGAACCAACTAGACGGCACCTAACAACAACAGCAACAACAACTCCTGCTGCAAGAGAACCCATTGTTCTCCTAGGGTGGGCGCGGGGTACCAGCAGCAAAAAGCAAACCTCCATTCACCGAGTAGATCCGAACTGCTATCGACCAGACAGGACAGAGTAGAACTGCTCCATAGGGTTTCTGAGACTGTCAATCTTTAAGGGCAGGACGGCCACATCTTTCTTCATAGACTTATCAAGGCTGTGACCTTTTGGGAGCAGATCGCCTGGCCTTTCTTCCAAGGGGTCCCTGAGAGGGTTTGAACCTCTATCCTTTAGCTTAGTCATTGCATGCTGTTTACATTGCCTGGGGTCTCACCACTTACTCACTGTCATGGTCCAACTCTTCAAGACTGTATAGGACACTGTAGAACTGGCCCTGTGGGTTTGCAAGATTTGTGGGAGTAGAAAGCCTCATCTTTCTCCCTCAGATAAACTGGTAGTTTTGAACCACAGGCCTTATGGTTCATAGCCCTAAAGCACAACCACTACACCGCCAGGGCCACTAGGAGACCTAAGGGTAGATCTGCCAGGCTCCAAGACTGGCAGACCCTCAGCCTTCCCTAGCCAAGGTCTTGTTCTCATGGTGACAGCTCTGAGCTCATTGGCATTCTCCCCCATCAAATCAAGGGCTGACCACGGCTCGCTGACAGCCTCTTAAGACAAAGCCATCCTGTCCTGAGGCCCTGGCTGGACCCACACCTTCATGTCCTGGGGTTCTTCCAAGAACCGAGCTGTTTGCTGTCCTCTGCAGGCCTCCTGTGAGATGCAGGGAGTGTGAGCAGGGACTGAGCTGGTGGAGAAGCAGGGGGCGTCTGAAGATCAGAAGGACAGCCCCCTTTCCGCTGCCCTCCCTGAGGAGCCCCTCTCTCCTCCAGCCCCCTGAAGCATGTCAGGTAGCATGTGTCCCCCATGGCTCGGCGTCTTCCTCCTTACCTGATCGCACAGGGTTCCAATCAGGCCTTCCAAATCCTGCTTCTCATGCAGGACCGCTTGCTTCTCCTCATATTCTTGCTCCAGCTGCATTTCCAGCTGCCGGAGCTGTGGGCACAAAGGGAGAGGTCTGCATCAGGCCAGTGGACTCCACCAGGCATGGCAGAGACCCTCAAGGGGGGAGGCTGAGCTGGTGGTTCCTTGCCTAACTGCACAGAGGCTGCCTCAGTGGTGGTGGGGGCTCCATCACCATAAAGTTGACCCCAATGCACACAGGGACCCCTCTCGAGCTGCAGAGCAGAGCTTCTTTGGGAAATTTCTTTAGCCATCATCGTTACAGAAACAGACTGCCAGGCCTTGCTTCTGCTGTGCCGCATAGGTGGGTTGAAACCACTGACTACCAGACTAGTAGTGGAGTGCAAACCATGTACACCATCTAGGGTTGGAGTTCTCAAGAGCTGGTCAATTATAGGAGCCCCCACCCGCCCTATAATTCTCCCATAAAGAAAACGCACCTTCTCCCCAGCTCCCTGCCCAGACAGAAGGGCTATCTCCCTCTTCTATGTACTGGCCATGTGTCCGTCCTGGCACCCCAGCCTTACTAAATATGATCTGTAACGTCTTACAATGCCTTTATCTCCCTCACAAAATACACTGTGTGGCAGCGAAAGAGAAGATTAGCTCTGAGCTGATTTGTCAAACAACAGCTCACTGAGTGGACATGGGGCTTAGGCTTCTTGAGCAGAAAGACTCTGCTTCCAGAAGGACTAAGAGTCTCGGAAACCCACAGGGGCAGTTCTACCCTGTCCTGCAGGGTCACTGTGATTCGGCATCAACTTGACCGCAGTGAGCTTGGTTGGGTTTCTCTGCCATCATCAGGCACAGAGGCGCTGCTGTGCCTTAAGAGGTGACAAGCCGGTCAGTGCATCTCCAATGCTTAGTGGTCCCACCTGGGTCAGAGCAGAACTGTGCTCTGTAGGGATTTCCTGGGCTGGTGGTGTGTCAGCAGGTTGTGTGCCAAGCTTTTCTTCCAAGGCACCTTGGATAACCATGAACTTCCATCTGCTAGGTTCACGGCCAAGCGTGCTGTGCTGACCGCTCACCCAGGAGGGCTGTGTTTGGCCCCCCACAATGGTCAAGCCTCTCTGGGAGACTTCCTCTCACCACCTTCATCCTCCCTGCTGACCCCATGTCATGAACAGCACAAATCCAGAGAGGACAATCGAAGCCCCAGAGAGGTTTGAAGATTCACACTGGAAGGAGAATAAAGTTCCTGCCGTGTCTCCTGCCAACTGGGACTGCCAGCCACTTCCCATCCACGCTGCTGACCATTGATTTCCTGCCATGGGAGAGACATACTGAGTCCATGTCAATGTCCGTCAGATGGAAAAACACCTTTCCCTGACTGCCCTCCCTCCCTCCCTTTATAAAGCTGCCGGCAGAAAGGGCTCCACAGGGTCATTGTTCCAAGTCACTGGGACCCTGCTGCAGGGACTCCAGTGGGAGACCCAGGAACTCAAGGGATGAACCAGGATGTATGCACCCTTCACCTGGGCGTGGCTGGTTCTCCACAGGGGCTGGGGGCATCCCTCTCCTGCTGCTAGGAGGAAAACCAGGGATCGTTCATGAATACAAAGCAAGTTCCCTTCCAATTTTCCCCCTAAGTGCAAGAAATAGCAGGTGTGCTCTGCTGCTGCATGCATTGCAAATGAGGCGGGGAACATGAAAACTCTGGGGAAGAAAATATGCCGAGTAAAGAAAACGGATGGATCAGGCCTGGAAAACATTTTTGGATTGTGTTCTGAGCTTCCTACTCTACCATGGGGTTGAGGAGTCGGGGGCTGGTGTGGGGGGGCGGTCCACTGGAGCAGAAGTGTGGGAGTCAGTTGTTGTTTGGCAGATTCTGCAAGGGCTAATCCGAACCTTTGGTAAGCTCCTGTACAACCCAGGCCAAGGGCTCACTCAAGGGTGCAGTGTTATCCAAGTCCGGCCTACCGCAGCTGCTTCTTCAATGATTCCATGGACCAAATATTTTGGGAAGAGGACCCTCGTGGTATAGTGGTTACTCGTCAGGCTGCTAACCATACGGTCAGCAGTTCTTTTTTTTTTTTTTTTAATAATTTTATTAGGGGCTCATACAACTCTTACCACAATCCATACATACATCAATGGTGTAAAGCGCATTTGTACATTCATTGCCCTCATCATTCTCAGAACATTTCCTCTCCACTTAAACCCCCGACATTAGGTCCTCATTTTTCCCCTCCCTCCCTGCTCTCCCCTCCCTCATGAGCCCTTGATAATGTATAAATTATTATTTTGTCATATCTTGCCCTGTCCAACGTCTCCCTTCACCCACTTTTCTGTTGTCCGTCCCCCAGGGAGGAGGTCACATGTAGATCCTTGTAATCAGTTCCTGTTTTCCAACCCATTCTCCTTCTACCCTCCCAGTATCGCCACTCACACCACTGGTCCTGAAGGGCTCATCCGCCCTGGATTCCCTGTGTTTCCAGTTCCTCTCTGTACCAGTGTATATCCTCTAGTCTAGCCAGACTTGCAGGGTAGAATTCGGATCATGATAATGGGGGCGGGGAGGAAGTATTTAGGAACCAGAGGAGAGTTGTAGTTTTCATCGTTGCTACATCGCACCCTGACCAGCCTCTCTGCTAGAGAAAGACAGTCAACTCCCATAAAGGGAGTCTCGTGAATGCCCAGCGACGGACACACCCTAACCCTCCCTAGAGGGTTGCTATGAGTCACAATTGACTCGATGGTAGTGAGTTCGGTCTTGTTTTTTTTTCTTTTTCTTTTGATTGGATAACAATTTAAAAGGGAGTGTTAGGGTTTAAGAATCTAATATTTGGAGTTGAACACGGGAGTCTATGGTTGTAGCTATTCTACCAATCCATCTCATCGAGGCTCTTCCTCCAGCAAAACAGATATCCTCGGCTATTGATTGGTCTTTCCTAGTGGCCTGGCCAAAGGAAGGCAGCCACGTCTCTCCCTCCTCCCTTCTAAAGGAGCATTCTGGTTGGATTTCCTTTGAGATGGACTGGTTGGTTCCTGTGACGATCCACAGTACAGTCCGCCCTCCTCCCCAGGACCCTGACTTCTTCCTCATCTTCCCTTTCCACTGCCCAGCTTTAGCAGGCAGACGAGGCGATGGGAAAAGACTAGGGCTAGAGGCAACCACACCTGCATCACCCAAGTGACACCTTTGTTCTTTAAAACAAAACAAACCTAAAAGGGCTCTTTGGCAGCACGTTGGTCCGACACAATACAGGAATTGCGTTCTTGACCGCTGCTTCTGCGAACATCCTTGCTACAGCCTTCTTGGAGAGCGGCAGCTGCACAGGAGGCTACGTGAGTTCCCCAGGAGCCTGGCTGGGAAACCACCTGCTAACTCCGGTTTATCCCGTTGCTTCCCAGTCATCCTACCATAAGGAGTGTGCACTATACTCATAGCAGTCAATACATCTGATGAGGGGTCTTATCTCAGCAGAAAACCAGAAACCATCTAAATGGTCAAGTGCAGGGACTGCACTGAATATCTTGGACCACTTTTAAGCCCCTTAGGTAGAAGCCAGCTCTGTATTTATCAACAGGGAAGGAGGCCAGGGCAGTGATCACAGCAGGCTTCTGAGCAGCATGACCCACTTAGGGCTGATGTTATCATGGCCAGAGGGGATGTGTGCGTGAGGACCAAAGCATAATGGTTGCAAGAAAGCATCAAAATACAGTTCTAATGATGGGTTCTGGGCCCTGAGATACGGAGATGCCATTGCCTCCTTATGCAGTTTGAAGTTTCTACAAATAGCCTGGATAAAACATGTGACATTTGTTGATTCTGAGAGAAGTCCAGAAGGGCCTGCACTGCTTATGGAAAGGGAGAAGCCGTCAGTCACCAGTAGCACAGGCTCTGGGCTGAAATCACGGGCTGATGATGCTGGAGAGTTCCAGAGGTTTCCGGAAGTCCTGAGAACATATTTAAGGCAGGGACTTATGCTTCTCCATCCTTGAAAGCACCCAGGGAATTAAGGTGTCAATTAGCTGAGAGAAAGACCTGCAAACCCCTCCCGCCCCCCCCCAAGGTCTTGGTGTCCAACTGGCACCACAACCGGATGTGCTAGGACCCCAAGGCATGGCTGAGCCAGCTGCCCACATACCCGCTTCTGGCAGGACTGGCGCATGTCCTCCAGCTCCTCCTCCTGGTCCTCACGGTCCTTCTGGTGCATCTGTTTCATACGTTCAATCTCCAGCTCGAACTGCTGACGAAGCTGGGGGTGGGGAGGCAGCAACAATATGTGAGGGGGACCCACTCCTCCTCTCCCCCGACCCTCCATGTCCACCATGGCATTTCCATCGCACTTTCCATCTTTGGGGTACATGCAGACATGATCAACGAGTAGCCCAAATGCAACCTCCATCCCTTTGTATGGTCATAATAATCACCAATCAATCATTTATTCCCACTGAGTTTAGATGCATCCTTAGAATCCTTCACAACACTCTGGTGTTGAAACAAATTTGTCATCCCTGGAAAATATATCAGTGATGGTATTTAGGATGAGTATATGTACACATGTATGTATGGGATTACAAATGGATAAATGGATGCATGGATGGATGTGTTTATAGATAGATAGATAGATGGATGCATTTATAAGTAAGGGGACAGATGGAGGATTTATGGATGGATGGATGAATTTATAGATAGATGGAGGGTTGGATAGATTGCTTAATGGATGGATGGATGGATGGATGGATGGATGGATAGATGGATAGATAGATGGATAGTTACTGGGTGGATGGATGGATAGGTTTGTAGATGGATGG